GCCCCCGTCGGCCGAAGAGAGAAGCGGCCGACGTTATTTTATCGTCTGCATGTTCTGTCTGTGCGCCTCACGGCTCCAGAGTCAGGTACTCGATGAGTAATAAAGGCAAAAGAAGAAAAATACAGGTCAACGTTCTGTTTTTCTGGCGGCTGCAGCATAAGGAGCCTCCGCTTTCATATTCACCTGCCCAAGTCACCTTTCGCTATACCTTGAAGGGATCTTTAACATCCTCTGAAATGCCTCAGTCATGGATTTCTGTGTAATTAATTCGATGCATGAAGTCACTGGTGACGGAGCAGCAGCTTGCCTGCTTGTGGCTTCCCCTGCACGGTGAACTTTTAAAATCCAGGTATTTTAGTGACGGATTACGCAGTCAAAAAATCCAAACACCAAACTAATCCCTTAAATGTCACACCTGGAAAGGATTTCTGATGATTTCCCCACTTCAAACAGTTTCACATCTAGAGTAATTTATTACACTGTTGTGCTTGTTGAACAAATTATGAAAGAAATACAAAGTGTATTAGGATGAACTTGGTACCACCTCCTTTGATTTAAAATCAACCAAAAAAAAAAAAATCAGCCTCGATTAAAATAGCGTGCAGGCATAGCAAAACAAAGCCTCTAACTGTAAATTAAAACTGACTTAATTTCCTGGCCTTGTCACCGACTGTCATGAACTTTCAAGTTTTCTCATCACGAGTAGGAATGGCCCTTACTACCTTAACATGGTGCTTTGGTTCCTCAGACAAAAACATGCTTCTGTAAAATCAGCACTAAAGTATAATCTATTATCATTCTCTTAAAGATATTTTCCTTTTTAAAAAGCCAAATACAAAATGACTCGCTGTACATTATTTAAAGTGAGTTTTTAAACATGGTAGGACCCCCTCTGACTCATAAATACTGGAGAAGACCTGCAACCTGATTTAATTTCAGTCCTACTTCCTGCCCTCAACCAGTTTCCTGTGACTTGAGGGCAGATAAACTCTACATACATACAAAAGTCCGAAAAACTTATTTTTCAAAAAATATTTCATGAGACCATCAAGCCACCCACACTCTTGCAGTCCAGTCTGGCCACTTCTGGAAGTTATTCCCCTTCCTCTGCCCCCACTCACAGAAGAGAGGTCGATGCGGACAAAACCAGAATGGAAACAGAGATAAAAATATGACTTTTAATCCGGAGTATTTAGTGTATTTATAATAGAAAGTTTCGCTCTGGTCAAGGGATTAGAGATTTTAAAAAAAAAAAAAATCCACGTTACAAATGTGTGGACAAGGTGCACCTGAGGCAGGCTAATTGATTTTTGCTTCCTCTGATTCACCAGGGTAATTAATACCCATGAGAAAGTAATGGTCAGAGCCTGGAATGGCTCCCACACCCACACAGCAATCACAGAATGCAGTTCAGAAAGTAGTGTGAAGTTATTCAACAGTTGCTAAAATATATATATATATATATATATATACACACATGTACACATACACAGTTCCCTTTGCAGTTAGATCAGATTCAGCAAATTGTTCAGAGATAGAGAAGCAGGTGGACACAAGCCCACTGACCTGTGTGTCCATTCTCACCCAGATGCACACATCCCTTACCACTCTTGAGTTTGGACAAACACACAGGCAGGTGTTTTCTTAATGCTATCTTACATGGTTTCTAGGTACAGAAAAAAAGCTTGAGATAAAAGCACCAACCCTCTCATCTGATTCACTGGCTCAGAATCCTTGTTCCTCTTGAACCTGAGGGAAATGGGGGTGTGGAAAGGATAACATCCTCCCATTTCTCAGAGCCACCACTTCCGAATCTCTGTGACTCTTCTGCCACAGCGATAACTGGTTGACACCGTAAGAGGGTAATCCTCCCCTGCTTCCAGAAACAGGCACATCCTCCCCACCATTTTCCTTGAGTCAGATTTAGCAATCAAAGGGCTGCAATGTGAGCCAGTCCAACTGTCTGATCTTGCAGAAAAACAGATCTGCAAAAAGTAAGTACTTGACCATCTGAACAGCCAGCTTAACCAAGTCACCCTACAAATTTACCCACCACATGGTGGGTAGAGCACCTGTTTCAGCAACAACTTGTCCACAGAGCAGCTGATCTTTCAAGTCACTCTGAGCTCCTGTTTTCCTCTTGGTCAGAGTCCGCACACCACTTCCTTTATGAGCTGCTTCCCCTCCTTGGGAAATTAGTTGTTGCAGAGGTCTGTCTTGGCTTAAAGGTGTTGAACTACAAGGTGATTGAGAAACAAACCTCAGCCTTCCTCCAGCATAATCTGCTGCCGTCTCCAACAAACCCAGCTGAAGAGCGTTAGAAAGATAAGGTGGTATGGGAATAGGAAGATGGGGAAAGGGAATTAGGATCCTGTCTTAAGAGTCACAGCAAGGGCAACTAAAGCAGAAATAGACTAAAGATGATTGTGGAGGCTGCAAAGTTGAGGAGAGTTCTGGTTTAGCAGAGCCTCTTGAATAGCTTCACTGCATCCACTCAGCTCCATCTGATTGAGAACATAGCTGATGTGCTCCACAGTTGCAGCATGGCCCATCTGCAGTTTCCACAGTCTAAGCATTTCATACTGGGCATCTCGTAAACGCCGATGCTCAATCTCAATTCGCTCTAGATCATAGTCACTCAGACCCAGACGCCTCACAAACTCTTTCCACCGAGATGGTGGTACGTGATCCACCACAGTGTAGAGAATAGCAGGGTCTGTGAAAACAGAAGAAAAAAGTGTGAGAACCAGGATTCTACAGCCTCAAGAAGAATGCAAATAATCCAGGGCTGCCTTGGGATTGCATTGCCCCATCCTGTTCAGGTCTTCTACAGAGCAGGCACATAGACTCGTGTGATGCCCAGACTTGCTCTTATTGATCAAAAAGCAAAGGGAATGCTTCCATATGCTCTTGTGTAAGGTTATGAGCAGAGCTGACTACACATGCTTAGGGCCTTGCTGCCACACATTCCTGCAAAAGGAACACACTGGGTCACCATCCCAGAGGCATTAAGACTGACAGCCTGTCACCACATATGACAACCCATTATGCTGGTAGGGAAAATGGACAACAGAAAGGCCTTGCATAGGTGTTTAGCGTATACAGCCTCTGGACATGCTTCTGCCTTTGTACTGTGTCATGCGTGAATGTTGTGGTTTGAGTCCAGAGGGCAACTGAACACCACAAAGCCGCTCAGTCACCCCTTCCCCCTCAGGAATGGGAAGGAGAATATACAACAAAAGACATGGGAACTGAAACAAGGACAGAGGGATGACTCGCCCCTTACAGGTCACAGGCAAAAGACAGACTCGTTAGGGGAAGAAAAAGAATATCCATTTAATTCAAACACCACCAACACCACCACTTAACAAACAGAGTAGGACAGTAAGAAGTATAACCACATCTTAAAAACACCTTCCCCACACCCGTCCCTTCTTCCTGCACTCAACTTTGCTCCAGATTTCTCTACCTCCTCCCCCTACAGCTGTGCAGGGGGCAGGGAATCGGGGGTGTGGACAGTTCTGCTGCTCCTTCCTCCCCAGGGAGAGGACTCCTTGCATTATCCCCTGCTCTGGCGTGGTGTCAGAAGACAGTCCTCCATGAACTTTCTCTGACACAAGTCCCTCCCATGGGCTGCAGGTCTTCCCAAGCTGCTCTAGCGTGGGTCCCTCCCATGTATTGCAATGCTTCCAGTGCTGAATGACAACAGTAGGGGCTTCCCACAGAGTCCAGGTCTTCTTCAAGCACAGCCACCTCCTCTGGTGTGGGGTCCTCCACAGGTGAGTCTCTGCTCCACCACAGACCTCCATGGGTGGCAGGGGTGGGGGGTAGAGGGGGTGCAGAGGCAGCCCTGCCATTTCACCAGGGGCTGCAGGGGGGTCTCTGCTCCAGCACACCTCCCCCCTTCTTCTTCTTTCTTCTGCTGACCTCGGTGTTCTCATAGGTGTCCTCCTTACAACTCCTCCTCACAACTCCAACTCCCCCTCACAGGTTCCCCTTCTTAAATACGTTATCACAGAGGTGCAGCCACCATCACTAACTGGCTCAGCCTTGGAGCCACGGGAGCTTTGAGAAGCTTCTCACAGGGGCCACTGCCGTAGCCCCCTCATCGGCTACCAAAAACCCCAGCACACACACAAACAGGTCATGTACACCAGTTCAAGTCTGTCCAACATCCTCCTAGCTGCGCTTGCACAATCAGGTTCTCATTTGTCTGGGGAAGGAGGGAAGGGTGGGGGAGTTTCACTTACTGTCTGGAAGTTGTGTCTTCCTGGCAGGTCTGACACAGTCTGGTAACTCATGGGAACTTTGCAGCAGAGGTGCAGGTGGTGGTGTTGCATTCACTGACAATTCTGTTTCTTTCTGGGACTCAGGAAGAAGGATGGAAATTTCAGTTCTTTTTACCTCAACCTAAAAGACACGTTTTCTTAGTCCAGAACCATACACAGCAGCACAATACACCTGTTTCTTACAAGGAACCACTAGCTTTACATACTAAAATTTATCCAAAATATGTGGAGAGCAGGTGCTGAGGTTTTAATTCTTCCTATATGTCTTGTTTGAGCAGAAGACACTACACATTTCTTTCCAGCATAACAAGGAGTTTAACTCTCTTTTGGCATCTTAAAAACAGTAGTCTGGAAAAAAGTATTTCTTTACAAAATCAGGTAAGGCTGGAACCTGAAATCACCACCATTCTAGAAGCTCCACATGCCACCTTTGCCATCAGTCTTCTCTGTAAGGCTGTGGAAACCCCCCTCAACTACTGCTTGGGCCCTCTTAATGTGAGAACAACATGGGACTTGAGAGAACACTGAAGCAGCACTGAGAGGCTTGTGGGGTCAAGATCTGAAGTGAAATAAAATTAGCTAAATCCTCTGAGCTTGGGGTATATAGGGAGAAAAAGGGATTAAGGAGTAGCTATCTGAAAATAATGCATCCAGAAAGAAAAAAGCAAAAAGCCAGAAGATTGAAAAGCAACCTCTAGAAGAGGATATGCCAAATGTTAATGGTTCCACCCTCCACAGCAAAGAGTTTCTGAATTAAACACCCCTATTACTCAGATCATTTGAAAATACAAGGCCTGAAACAAGCCCATGGGGAAAAATGTTACTCTGGATCCCAGGCTAACACAGTTGAAAGCAGAAGGAAAGCTCTTATACCCATCCTTTTGCTCACCTCAGATGCTGGCTCCTTGGTTGTCTGCAGCAAAGAAACTTTAAACAAACAAAAAAAAAAAAAAAAAAAAAAAAAAAAAACTCGTCCCAGAGAAAACAGGAAAGCAACTTGCACAATCCTGCCCATCAAAAAGGTTTTCTAGCAAAATGCACATCTCCCAGCAATTAGCTCGCATTGCACTTCCAGTCACAGCTATGGTCATGGATGCAGAGTTGCAAGAATTGCACCAATACGCTTAGCTGCCAAGTTCTTGTGTTCCTCTGGCCTTGCAGCAAAGCAGAGTAATGGAACCCACTTCTTCCCTCACACATGTGCACATACATAAGCACACAGAGAATGATGTCTATCCCAGTTAATATCTCTGCATATGCTGCTATACTCACCACAGGAGTAGAAAGATGATGCTATCCCATTTTTCTGGACCATCTTCACTAGTTTATTTACAATGTAGAGGACAGAGATAACTCCAAATATTGCAACAATGATGCCAAGGACAAGGCTCCCATCTGGACAAAATGATGAGGGCAAATGAGTGAATGACTGAGAAAGGAGGAGATAAGTGCTAGAGGAAGAACAGCAAGTGAAGACTTGCAAATGGTAAGGAGAAAAAGAATAATGGTTTGAGAGAGTGGAGAAAACAACACTTTACAAAAGGCATTAACAAAACAAAATCCCACACTGAAAAGATTTCACTGTTCCTCAGTTCCCCAAGTACTCACTAAGCCCAGACGATGTCGGTGAGGTAGCCACTGGGCTATGACACTGCAAGCATTCTTCTCCAATGCAGCTGAAAGAGCAAATCAGAGTGGTGAGCATGCATGAAACAAAACACCAGCCACTTGCAACAATCCTAAGTAACAGACAAGTCAAGACGAGCCTGCAAAGCAGAGCAATGCAGTGTGGCTAGTGGCTTTGGGTTCTTAGTGGGCTGATGCTTATATGGAGAAGACTGGGGGTGGCAGAGGGGAAGACCCAATTGCTCCAGAAAAGCAGAATGTTGTAAAGTTATGTCAAGATAGACAGAGCCTTGTGAGAAATTTCCTCCCCCTGTGGTGTTTGTGTCTGCTGTCCCTCCTACTCAGTGAAGGGGCATACAGAGAATAAAGCTCACCTGTTGCAAGGCTTGCAAACGTTACTAAGTGTCAGGAAGAAACCAAGCTTACACCTGCAAATTGTGTCTCTGTTCTTTGAGCCTGTAGAGAAAAGAAGAAACTGTAGCCATAAACTGGATGGAGAAGAAAACAAAAGGAGAAAAATCCACTCCTAGATGGGGGGGAGATTATCCCTCTTTAAACCCAGAGAACTGCTACTGAAGAAGAGAAAAAGGATCAGTCTATGTTTGAGGACAGGGTTGGGGGAGGATAAATATAATAAAAAGTAAGGGTAACGCTATCCTGGTAGGTCAGAGACCTCTGTAGAGCCTTGGAAAGGGACTAAAATTATAGTGCAACTGAAATTGGTCTAATGGATAATGGCAGTTCCAGCACAAAAGTGGGGAAAGTCACTCAAGTTCAAGCATGACAGGAAGGGGAAATCACATTGGTAAAGCAAAGACAAGGGAGAAGTGGTCCCTGAGCAGCTGGGACTGGTGAGGAAGTCAGTTCAGGGCAGGCAGAAATCACTTCAAGCCACGGGACACATCCACTCCTGTGATCTGCTATGCTGTGAGTGGAAGCGGTCAGAAATCAAAGAGCTATTGCTTCTAAGCAAGTTACAGTATGGAGACTGAGTAAAACAGGTATGGGGAGGAGCAGGCAAGAATAGTGATGGAAGGACATAAAGCTGCATGATGGGAGGGAAAAAGGTGCTTGAACAAGAAGCATGCCTTCTGTGGCAAGTGAGGGACAAGACAAAAGAAGAAAATTGCTCAAGGGCAGCATAGGATGATGACCCTTGAGGACAGGTGTAAGCACGGAAACCGTCCCAGAGAATACTGAGCACCAGAGGGAACACATTCACCTCACACTAGGCAAGGTAGGAGAAGGGAAAGGGATCAGAAGAAGCAGAACTTGCAAAGAAGAGGTGATACCTTTAGAACAACAAGGTAAGGAGCATTTAAGGGACATGAACAGAATTAGATTACAGCACAAGGTACAACACAGCAGCAAGCAGTATTTGCTTTTAAGATCTCCAATTCCTGGCTGGAGATGAGGCAGCTTGGGACAGCTAACATGGGTACTTCTCGCAGACACTTGCACCCTCCCCAGGTCACACCCAATGCCACTTGGTGCAGTTCAGCATTACCTGAGCAGCTCTTTACATTAAAACACTGCACTGTGATGGTTCAGCAACTGACTGACAAGCAGTTCAGCTGGGCACTGGGAGTAGCGGTATTTTCAGCCATTGCACTCAGAAGTGCCTCCAGCAGTCGGTGAGGGAAATGCAACGAGCATCAGAAGAAATATCCACACAAAGACAAAAGACCTCGCTTCAGTGCATGCAAGGCAGAGGTACCAAAACTAAGTAGCAAATATCTCCTCACAACAGCCAAAACTGAGAAACGTTTCAAGGACAAAAGGAAAGTAGAAACTGTGATAGAAAATAGGGGTTGATGCCAAGGTAGGCAGAAAAGGGCAGTCTTTCTGGGGACAGTGGGCGAGGAAAACCAAGAGTTGTTTCAAAACTACAAGCACTTCAGGGCAAGGCACTGCAGCGTGTCAGAAAGTGAACAGAGGGGCTGTTAATGTCTACCCAAGAACAGTATGTCCATAGTGGAGCCACACCCATGCCATACTCACAGTTGGCAATAATCCCATTGACACATGAGCTGCAGTTCCTACACTGGAAGAGATCGGACAGGCCAATCTGATATTGGTTCTTCCGACAGCCACATACCGTATCTTGCTTTGGTGTACAGGGGGTCTCTACTATCTGCCCAAACTCTGTGGAAAGAGATAAGTGATTAATCCAACCTCTTCCTTTACCTTCAGCTGACAGAACTGTTCCAGTGACAAGTATTGTTATCTCCTTATCTTCCCAGAAAAAGACCAAAAAGGCCTGCAAACTCTGTCTCAGACTGTAGTAATTTGGTAACCCTTATTCCTGCTGTCCCCAGTCCTTTCCCATACACTGTCCTTCTGCCCATTCAATTGCTTCTAAGCTTCCTTGTTCATCTTGCCATCCCCTCCAGCCCCCTACCCACCAGTACAACACATTTTCGCCAGGTCCTACAGATAACTCACCTGTACGGCAATATGTACACCGGAAGCATTTAGACATGGTGTTATCAACAGCTGTGAATGTGCCATGAGCACATGGAAGACAGACAGGTGCCTGGTCAGGCCGATCACAGTCTTTTGCCTTGTAGGTACCTGCAAGAAAATCACTTAACAGAGCTCTGACAGGAAGGCAAACACAATGTCTCAGGGAGGATGGGAGTCACAGACTGCTCAGAGAAACCCTGAAGTTGATGGTGTAAGGACCAAGTATACTTCCTCTCACCAGTGTGAAGGACACTGACAGACCAAAAGAAGAGACAAGGAATGAGAATTTATCCGGATAGGTATACCAAGGAAAGGGAGCACTGATGTAGCTGTAGAAGAGAGACAGTTTGAGAGTGCAGGACAGGGAAATGCCTCTAAGGTGAAGGTCACTATTACTGTACTAACTTTATGTACCTGCATGGCATCTCATGCAGCAGTGAGTCTCTCTGGGATGTAGGTATTGTCCTAGTAGACACTGCACCTGCCTCTTTTCTCTCCTCAAGGAGTTAGAGGGGTCTCTTCCATCCAAAGCTACCCGATGGACTTGCAATGTATATGGCACTGGAGCAATTCCTACAGATTCCTTTGTCAACACACAGACAAATGTTAAGATAACCTGTAAATACAGAGGGAGAGGGGAAAGAAAGAGGAACAAGGTGAGAAAACATCGCATTCCCTTGCAGACGGCACAGCTGACTTCAGCACTTACAAATAAACCTTATGAAACAGTGAGTTCAATTGACTTGACCAATTCTGCTATCAGGACCTTCCACTGACAAAAGTGTGGAGGGAGATTAGTTACCACAAAAAATCCCCACAAACTCCTGCCTATCATCTGTGTTATTAATATGCCGTATGTCTCTATGACAAACTGATTGTATATAAAGCAAATACTTTTCACGACGTGCAATTCATAGATTGAATGCCTTGAAAATGCTGCAGCTTGCAAGAAAGTTATTCAAGAGCAAAGAATGTTTTTATAAGAAAGGTAGTAAGACTGCCCATCTAGAGGCAGTTCCAGAGAGAAGAATGCATCCAGTACTTGAGGTTCTACTCACTAAATAAACCAGATGGGAAGTTTGGAATAAGAAGGCAGAGGAGGATCTCACTGTATGCAAAGTATAGAAAAGCTTTCAAAACTGAGCAAGACACCCCTAGAAACATGGGAAAGTTAGGTTTTCGACTTCTCCCCATCAAACGTACATTCTTCCTTTAAAACTGCAGCTGTTAACATTCAGTCTGAGCAGTCTGCCACAAAAATGTATGCTTTTTTCTTTTTTTAATTCCTTTAAGATTTACTTGCTATTTTTCATTCTGAAGATGACTGTTGTCAAGAATTTTGACAGGAATATTAAGATTAGCATCACTGCAGTATGACTGTAAGAGAGCATGAGTGTGTGTATACAGAGACACACAAAGGAACAGCACAACAAAGGGTTAAAAGAACAGCCTCTACAGATAATGAAGGACACCATACAGGACATTGTTTTTAGGACGCTATTCCCAGCAGTGAAATTGAGAAATGTGCTGTTTATGTCCCAGCCAAAAGGTCTACACTCTGGTCAGAACATAGCATAGATGACTCATTGGCAAAAGACCCTGCACTAGGAGGATGGTAACAAAACTGCAGCGTATAATAAACACGATTCTTCTGCCTGTTGGCCCAGCAGAAAAACAGACTCTAGGCATGTATTTCAAACATGTCTTCAGACAAGGAAAAAAACACAGTAACAAAAATGTTTAAAAAAGAATAAAATTTAAAAAAACCAAAACAAAACAAAAACCCGCACGAGAAAGAACTTGACCCAAGATTTACGAAGCCTGAAGTCAGCAAGTTTCTATGGCAAAAGTCCATCCCATACCAGCTGATGACATCCAAGGGGTATGATGGACTTGTCCAGAAAGTAGTTTTTAGTGCCACACCATCTGGACATACACGTGTTGGTGTTTCTGGGTATGTCACAGAGAGCATGTGCCAATGTAGCCTATACATCGGATCACGTGAATGCATGAAAATCAACTCTTCTTTTTTCTGCAAATAAATACCACCCCAACCCATCCACACAATCTCTGTACACAGAGTTTTACTACACTACCTTCCCTACATCGTAATGCATAGCTGTACAGGCACAGCTTCAGAGCTGTTTCTTTTTGCTTTCTCAGCTAGGAGAGTTATAGCAAAAGCAAAGCAAACCAGTAAGGATAAATCACAATGCTGATACCAATTTTGTGGTTGCAAGCTTAAGAGACGACACGCAAAAGGAGATGGCTATGACAGCCCCATGCTGTCCTGTTTCTCTCTTAAAATTAAAGCTTTGGGGGGAAAAAGGTACATACATGAAAGCAACTTAAAACCTCAAGTATAGCACTGCAACCCTGACAAAGCAAAACCCCCATTTTTCAGAGCACTCTGTCATACAAAGACATATTCACTAGACCAGATGCTAAAATGAACAGGAAAAAGAAAACCACATATTTAAATAACTATCATTTCAGACTTCATTAGCTAACCACACAATAAATGCAAGTACTTCAAGAACTCAGTAAAAATAAAACTTGTTTCAGCAGCTGACAGTCTTACAAGACTGATTGCTTGCAGGAAAATAGGTAAAAGATCATTCACACAGATGGTCTGACAGCAACAATAAAAAGTAAAATAAAAACCCAAAATCCTGATTCTCTACCCAATGATTAATCCCCTGACATGGGAACAGATATATAGCCAGCCCCTAGGTCAGACAAGTCAGCAGTAGAAACAACAGAGGAAAGCATCAAAGATCAAGCCACAAACACATAGAAAATTGGTCAGATGCACCTTCAAAAACAAAAGAAAATACAGGTGTTTTCAGTTTTTTCAGAAAGCGTGTCTGTAAGTGTAATCAAACCAGAGTTAACACATTATTACTGATGAAAATCTGAGGAACAGAGAGTCACAAACCACAAATGGCTCACAAACTCGGCCTTCCAGAAAAATCATTCATATGACAGGGGAAAAAAAAAAAACACAACACCATCTTAGCAGCTCCCCAAGCTTTCAGCAGTCTACTGATTTATACCAATGACAGAATTCATAAAATTCAGGAAATACATGAAATTAGAATAGCACAGAATATTTCAGTTGGAAGGGACTTAAAATGATCAACTAGTCTGACCACTTCAGGGCTGACCAAGTTAAAGCATATCATTGAAGGCATTGTACAAATGCCTCTCAAACACTGACAGGCTTGGGGCATCGACCACCTCTCCAGGAAGCCTGCTCCAGTCTCTGACCACCCTCTGCGTAAAGAAATGCTGCCTAATGTCCAGTCTAAACCTCCCCTGGTGCAGCTTTGAGCCATTCCCACGTGTCCTGTCGCTGGATCCCAGGGAGAAGAGCTCAGCACCTCCCTCTCCACCTCTCCCCAGGAAGCTGCAGAGAGCAGTGAGGTCGCCCCTCAGCCTCCTGCTCTCCACACTAGACAAATCCAAAGCCCTCAGCCACTCCTCACAGGACATTCCTTCCAGCCCTTACACCAGCTTGGTTGCCCTCCTCTGGACGCGTTCGAGGACCTTCACATCCTTCTTCAGTTGTGGGGCCCAGCGCTGCACCCAGCACCGCAGGAGAGGCCGACGGCGAGTACAGCGGGACAGTCGCCTCTTTTGCCCGGCTGGCCGTGCCGTGTTTGATGCCCCCGGGATGCGGGTTGCCCTCTGGGCTGCCAGGGCAGGCTGCTGACCCACACTGAGCCTGCTGCCGGCCCGCACCCCCAGACCCCTTTCTGCAGGGCTGCTCTCCAGCCACTCCTCTCCCAGTTTACACTTGTGCCCGGCGTTACTCCTCCCACGTGCCCAATCCGGCATTTGTTCTTGTGAAATTCATCCCATTAACCACAGCCCAGTGCTCCAATCTATCTAGAGCCCTCTGCAAGGCATCTTGTCCCTCAAAAGCGTCAATATCAGATATAGCATCATCAGCAAACTGGCCAACAGTGCATTCAGCTCCTGCCTCCAGATCACTGGGAATTATACGGAACAGAACTGGCCCTGAGGAACACACCTGGTGACCGGTTGCCAGCCAGATGTGGCCCCATTCACTACAACCCTCTGGGCTCTGCCCTTCTGCCAGTTCCTCACCCAGCGCACCATGAACCCACTCACCCCACAGCTGGACAACTTGTCAGGAAGTATGTTATGAGGGACTGTATCAAAAGCCTTACTAAAATCCAGAAAAACTTCATCCACTGCCTTTCTTGGGACCTTATCATAGAAGGATATCAGATTAGTTCAACAGGACTTCCCCTCTGTGAACCCATGTTGACTGCGCCCGATGATTGATGAAATGCCTTCCAATAGCACCCAGTATAATCTTCTCCACAGTCTTTCCACGAACTGAGGTTGGACTAGCAGGCCTGTAGTTCCCTGGGTCTTCCCTCACACCCTTGTTATTCCCACATTATTCCTTCCAGTCAGCAGTGACCTCCCCAGACTGTCAGGATGGTTGAGAGGGATCCTGCCATAACACCTGCCAGCTCCTTCAGTACTCTGGCTGAATCCCATCTGGCCCCATCAACCTGTGAACATTCAGCTCTTGCAGCTGCTCTGTGTAAGTTTACAACCTCACTCCAGTTTTCAAAGACACCATGAAGTAGTGTAGCAAAAGAAACAGGCTTTAGTTTCACTAGGTGAATGCCTTGAATGACGAGCAGGATTAGTATCTAAAGTCCTGGAAGACAGGGCTTAATTTTTCACTGCTTGGTCTTGAAAGCCAAATACACCATTGCACACACAATTCCATTTAAAGAGTGAGAAGGGCTGTTTTGCTTCCCTCCTCAAGGTCCAGATGAATATGTAATGCACAGCGTAGCTGCTGCTTCAACACCCCTGTCTTATG